CTTATAGCACAGAAGGAGGTCTATGAGGTCAAGGTCCAGATTTCTGTCACGCGTCAATAAGAGCATAACAGATATGATCCTAAAGAAGTTGGGGTTGACCTGCAGAGGGGATATCCCCAATCTGTTGAAGACGTAACTAAAGAAAGGGTGCAGAGGGAACCTAACAACATTCAGTTGAAGGTTTGTGAATAAGACTTCGCCGGGCAGGAGGCCGGCGCCGGTCGTAATATTAACGTCTTGGGGGCAAACCCTAACTACGATGTTGTCAGGAAGCCTAAGTCTCATACGAAGGACACCCAGATCTACAACCATGGTGGAAGTGCAAGAAGAATCTAAAAGAGGGAAAATGGAAGCCTGCCGAAAGTAAAAAGAACGAAACTAACCTCGGAGGACTGCAAGATCGCTGGGAGAATGACTCTCGAAGGATTTCACCGGAAAAGGCTTAGCACAGTTCTAGAAAGAGGGAGATTTGGCTGATGATGGAGACGGTAAAGGGAAGTGAAGTGGAATTCGAGAGCATTATATAGGCAAGGGGGCCCGAGGGCCGAAGCGTCGGGAAGGCAAGAAATCCCTCGAACCCCGGAACATTGATTCTGGATCTGACCGTTCGCTCCCCCACGTGGTTATCTCGAGCCGTCAGCGTCATGATGAGACGCCATCAATAATTACCCCTTATTAAATAAGGGGCAATTATGGGGGCAGTTGAGGAGGCCCTGGATGACATGGGCCAGGTCCGACTCGCAAAACACAACCTTCAGTCCGAACAGCTGGGTCAGCCCATAAAAAGACACTGCCATATGGGCCGAGCGGGAGTAAGCCCATCAAGAGTGACCAGGGCTTACTGAGGAATAGGCCCAGGTCCAGCAATTAGTAACTATCTTGTAAATATCTTGTAAATATCTATAAATAGGAGTTGGAATGAAGAGGAGGGGGATCTTGATTCGGGTTGAGGTGTAAGAATTCTAGAGAGAGAAAGAATAGAAGGAGTTTCTTGCATCTTCACCATGATTCCAACATGTTCCATTAGTAACACTCCCTCACATCAACCGTCTAAATTCTTAGCTGCTCTTTTTATGAAAATGCTGATGCAGTTTTTGACACCAAGTGTCAAATAAACCAAAACCATATAATAATTTCTCCCAATAAAAAAAATATTATAAATTAGAGAGTCAGAAACTTGTAATTTCCTTACATTGGAATCTCTATTTCCAATACAAGTATTTCAAATTACCCTCCATTTTCTGTACTCTGATTTGCTTTTTCTAGTTTCGTGACACTTTATATTCTCTTTTAATAACATCTGACTTTAATGCTACCAACAAAAATAAAAATAAAAAACTCCTAGTATCCCATTGACTAACATGTGAACTCAAGTTGCTTTATCCTCAATCTTTAAATTATACTAACAATTTTGGCAAGTTTTGATTTTTCCCTAAATTCTGATTTTTTGACAACCTTTTTCCAAGTGGATGCTTTATCTTTCCTGCCAACAAAAGATGAACATAATTGCAATTGTAAAATGTGTTCAGGTCTATTCAAGAGATTCAATAAAACTAACATAAAATAAAATAAAAAAAAAAAATTAATCAGGCTTTCGGTATTGAAAAATTAATACGTTACCCTAATGATCCATACCGACTAAAAAAATTAGAAGTGCAAAGGAATGATGGAATATTTATTAGAAAATGATTCTCAAAAAAAAAAAAAAAAGGCATTAATATTTTCTTTTTCTTTTTATCCACCTTGGATTGCATAACTTTTTGCAATTTCATGGTACATGGGGCGAAACGAGGATTTTATTTCAAAGGGGACAAAGTGCACTTGTTGAAAAAAAAAATCAATAAATATGACAAATACGAAGAACAATTTTTTTAAATCAAAAGGCAAACAATAAAAAAAAATTTGTAAAATAATATGCTAAATAAATACCGTAAAAAAAAATATAGTTACAAATATAAGAATCAAAATATTGATTAATAATATTTTAATTAAATACAATTACAAATGTCATCAATCTAACAACCCTGATCCTCATGGATCCAGATCATTAAACGGATCATTACCCGACCCAAAACTATCCGAGGGTAATACGGTCTTTTCACGTTAAATTTAAACCTTAACGTCTAAAAATGGTAAGATGGTAATTTGCTACAATTCACATGGTTTGAGACCCAAAGGACATAAATGTCTTTTACTTGTATCACATAATAAATAAAATAAAGTCCCGGGCAACGTGGTCTTTTTGGTGGTTAAAATATAATTATTGCATTTTATTGGGTCATAAAATAAATACTTGTAACATAAATTGGGTGCCAAAATGTAATTTGGGAAACTAATAGAACTCATATGTGGAACGTGAACCGGTCGACGTATGCACATTATACGTCGACTGGTTTGGGTTATGAACAATGCAAAACCCACTGTCGAGATACCGGTCGAATTTTTACGTCGATGGGGTCAGGATACCGGTCGACGTATGGGAAGCCATACGTCGACTGGTTTACATCGTGTGCAACAATGACCCACACTGTCAAGATACCGGTCGACGTATGGGAAGCTATACATCGACCGGTTCTGAGTAATTCTCACTTCCACTTCCCTGTCCAGTATGCACCCATATACACCAACATTTGATAATTAACCACCCACGCCACTGCACTCACGTACGAAATTAAACACATTACAACATCTAATACAATAATAACAACCACGTTGTTAACGTAATTTGCCACACGTTACTTAAAATACACAAACTGATTTTGAGTGAATAAGGCTTAATTACATTACCCAATGACCATGCACATGATACTTCCACGTATTTTACATGTTGCCAAAAATAATGCATTTTGTGTCATGCACTTTACAAGGTAAGTTCAAGTCCCACAAAATACATTAAAAAATGCCTTTAAGTTCCCTTAGCTCTGTGGTGGATTATCATTCGCCAATTCCTTGCCATGACCTGAAAAATGTTAGATATATTGGGGTGGGCAATTTGCTGAGCAGGCAACACTTAAGACATGCATCTTGTGTCTCCGTGAATCCATACAAAGAAAGGAATGATAGGAATATGGATCATAGCATGTCGGGGAATAAAACATCATATCCAATCTCAACGTAAACAATACGATGCAATGTAAATGCAGTGCATGCCAATGTCGTTCCCCATTTTCAAAACCATCCATCTGTCACTTTTCAAACTGTTAATGTAACCCCCTTTGATACCTCCTCAGCGTCGAGAGAAGGATTGGCTACTGTCCCTAAACCGTTAGTGACTCCGCAGCGTCATCGTGGGGCTCAGATAGCTCAACCACGCTAGGGTAATCTCCCTAGTTCCATCTAGGTTACATTAACCTACCGGCCCTTTAGAGACTCCGTGGCGACCGGGTTTTTACAAAACTGATTCAACAAAACACTTTCCAAAAATTCCCTATTTTCATTTAAAAAATCAATTCTTCCCATTTCTTGCCCAATGTAGATGCATAGATGCATTAATGCCGCGTACATAATCATTATCTCACAATTAGTTCAAATTTAGTCATCAAGGCATACATTCACAAGAATTCTCCAAAGAGAATACAACATGCTTTTACACGATAGAAATCTAGCATGATGGAATTATAAATTCAACACTTAGGCATGTCCTTCATACATCATTTATAGTATATTAACAAAACAATGAACACAAAACTCAACATACATCATGCTTTTTACACAATCAAGTTAACACACACATTCACATAAATTCACATATTCTTACTTAAGTCATTTTAAACTAAAATCAAAGCAATTAAGCATGTTAAGGCACAATTCAGGTTGATTAATTCACTAAAGCGCAAGAACTTCGTGGATTAAGAACCAATACCTTAAATGTGATGCAAAACCCTAAATGGGTCACAATTTTCGAAGGCCAAAGGGAGCACCAAATCTGGAATTTTTGGTACACACGCGTAGAGCTCGTTGTACTCTTCGTTTTGCCTCAAACGGCACCTAAATCTAGCAAATAATCAAGAAGTAATCTTGCTTCAAAGATTGAATGAGAAAAGAAAAAGAAAAAGCAAAACAAGAGAGTGTGAGAGAAAACCAGCGGGGAGAGAGAGAAGGTTGGAAATGTGGTCTCTAGACCACTTTTGATACAGTGGTAGGCCCCACAAATTTTATTTCTTTTCTCTTTGTCTTTTACTTGAAATTTTACACCATATAAAATGCATCACCATTTAAATGTCACACCATCATATAAATTAAAATGCACCAAATGCAATTGGACCCAACCACAATCCCACACGTAAAACGTGAAAAGACAGAAATACCCTTACTTTGACAAAATTCCTAAAAAATGGAAAGTGCCAAAAATCGGAAACGTCACAATCAATAAAAAGAAATAAGTGGAAAGAATAGAAAAATACATAATTATACATAAGTGAAAAAAAAAAAAAAAATGAAAAAGGAAACAAAAATTAGAAAAGGAAAAATATATGGTATACTTGAAAAAGGAAATTAGAAGAATTTAAAAATTTTAGGGGGGCACTATTTAAAATTACCATATAAGTATATGTATATAACAAAAATATATACCTATGTACAGTAGGTTGGAGCAAAGTGAGGGGGGCACGCGCCCCTCTGGACATTAATTGGCTCCGCCCCTTTAGTACTTTTATATTTTAGACAATCTATAAGGGAGGTAAGTGTAATTATGGTTTTATTTAGATACTTGAAAACAATTAATACTATTAAATATGAAGTTTTTAAGGGTGAGAAAAGGAGTACGGGAATTAAGGCATCATATAGAACGAACTTTCTTTTACAATAATGTCATGCTTACACCACCTATAACAACCACAAATGTGACCAAAACAAAGCTGCACACCTGATATTTGAGTCTATAGTTGAGAACATAATCTATAGTTGATAACATAGACCAACACTAAAACAGAAAGAAAACAATTGGCATAAATGCCACATAATCTGTTTCTTTTTCATTCATTCATCGATTGTTTGAATCCTCATTGAGTTTCAGCTTTGATTCTTTTTTTAAGTATGAAAGCATCAGTCAAAGCAGTTTTCGACACCAAAGCAGCCTCCAACATACGCAAAGCCTGCAAAAGAAATCCACATTAGTAACTAATAAATGTAACAACTACTGTAAAGCAAAGCTGATAACCATAGAATGCTGATGAACACATATGATTCCCCATGGCAAGAACCAAAACCTCCCAACAATCAAAATTATAGTCCATGATGAACAAATGGTGAGTCAATAGAATGTAAGCAGTACTTAAAAACCCAGCCTTTAGTCAATTTACCTCTTCCTCACCCATGGTCACTTCTTGCTCTAACATGTCACTGTGAGGAATATTCAATCTGTCGAGAAGAGACATGTCTGAGAATAGAGATAAAAGTGTTATTCTCAAATCATCTGTCACCAAGAACATGGAAGGCCCCCTAAAGAATCCCTTGCCAATTATTCTTTCATTCACCTTGGGAACGAAACCCGGTAAGGAATTAATAAAAGAGTAAGATGACCATGGAACTTGCTCGATAGGAATGAGCTGCTTATTCAAAGCAAAACCTCGCGCAAGCTTTGGATTGACCAAAATTGCCTTCATCTCCTCAGATTCCAAGAATTCCCCAACATCAGAATCTTGGATGCTCTTGTATAGATTACCTAAGCATCCCCTTAAGGACAAACATGGAAATTCCTTGAAAACACAACCAAGTGGAAATGTGAGGAAACTGCCAATAAGATCAACAAAATCTTCTTTTGCTTCTACATACAACGCCCTGTTATTAGATTTGTTGATGAAAAGCTTTAAAAATTATCTTTCTTTCCACTTTTCTTGTGTTCATAGCCCTTTGAGATTGATCGGTGCTTCCTGGACCATAGTTTTCGGGGCAAATGTCAACATTGCTTTTGTCAATGGCTAGTTCCAAAATGGTCTTCGAGAAAGGCGTCCTTGATGTTAATGAACAAATAAGCAATTTCAAAATCTGCGTGAAAGAGAAAAAACAAACATTCATTTTTCTCATGAAAACACTTATAAAAGTAGAACTACTTAACAACATAATTTACCTTGTCCCTTCCCATGCTTATACTACTTTCTTCTCTTATGCTTTTATCCATAGCTCCAAACTTACTAAGCAGGGATAAGCCAGTCACAGTGGATATTGGCTTTACATGAAAGTCATCAGTTATAAGAAACCTTGCGGCAGGTTTCACAAACACTCCCCCATCTTGTTGTGCAGACATACTTTTATTCATAATCCACGAACGAGACATGAACCCTCCACAATGGTAGAGAGCGTCAGAGTAAGGACTGAAATGATGACGGTCACTGCAAGTATGGTACTCAATATCACCATCAACAAAATTCAGTTTTAAATACCTGCAGTACAATTTAGCTGCATTTCGAGGACGAAGCAGCAAGTCCTTGCACCACACATGACGTGCCTCATCAAGATCCTCAACACTTTCATACAAGTCGTTCAAACAACCAAGGTCCACTTCTATTGAGTGTTCGTGAGCAAGTGTAATAATGGATCCAATAGGCATAGTCATGAAGCTAAAGAGAACATCAACAAAATCATTACTTGACTCTGCAAAAACAAAAAGATTTCTCTTTTTCTCCACCAGCACCTTTAGGCTTATACTTTGTGAAGCTTCATTCGCCATCATTTGAAGTGGATAGTATATTAGCAAAATTCAATTTATATATTTTAATTAATGTAACCTGCATCAATCATCACATCGAATGTTAGAAGTTTCACAAAAGTGAAAGATATTGTTTATAATAAGATGACCAAACTATAATAAACTGTAAAAATTGAATTTCTATGATGAATAAACTGTATGTTGAAACCGATAGATTTGTGTTCAGTACAAGAAATTATATATGCTAGTTTCTCAAATGCAAAAGTTAGATGCAAAATAAAGGAAATATATACTAGAAGGAGAAACAATTATCAATTAAATCCCTTGCCAATGCTACTAAAAAAAAAAAAAAAACTCCAATAGCAATCAATGGCTTCGCTTAACTGTCTCTTCTCTACAGTCATGTTGAAAATCAAAAACATAATTTACCTGGACTGATTTCAAGTAATCAAATTTCAAGTTACAGGAATTAATAGTGCCAATTACATAATCATGTAAAAAGAGTAAACACTTGTGAACTGAAGTAATTGTACCTGATCAGACCCCACAAAAGAAACACAACCAGGAAATGTTTGGATTTTAGATGACTAGAGATCAATGGGACAAGGCAAGATATAAAAAAATGAAAAAGGAAAGTATATTTATATGTATAAAGTCAGTGACTTTCCATTTCTTTCTTATTTTTCTAGGTTGGAATCTCTATTTCCAATGGAAGTGATTCAAATTCCCGTCCATTTCCTGTGCTGTGTTTTGCTTTCTCTAGGTTCTGACAACGGAAATGATTCAAATTCCCTTTTATTTAATAACATCTGACTTTTATTGCTACCACCAAAATTTTCTCTTTTCCTTCCCTTTACTGTTATTGAGAACCAAACAGAGAGCCTCGTATAAAGTGTGAAAAATAATTCAGCGTAACAAAATCACCAAGGGACAAGCTCTCCCTCTGAATTAAAATGAGACAGCAAGGTCCTCAGTCAAATTAAAATTCAAGATGAAGTAGAGTCTTGCCAAAAAGGAGAAAAAGAAGGTAAAAACTTTAAAACAGCAAAAAATAAACATTTAAGGCAACAATATTAGGAATCATATAGAACCAACGTTTTTCTAAATAACACAACCCCATGACTACCACGACAAAAAAAAAAAAAAAAAAAAAAAAAACCTTGACTACAACTTATATTTGAGTCTATAGTCGCGACACTGAAAAATATAAAGAAAGCAACTGACATGGAAGAAAAAGTTTGACACCAGGGTAGTTCAATTCTGAATTATAATAGAATTTCTTTCCAATCCATGCATCAACCGTCTGAATTTTCATGGAGCTTTAGCTTTGATTCGTTAAGTATAAAAACATCAGTCAGAGTAGTTTTTGACACCAAAGCAGCTTCCAATAAACGCAAAGCCTGCAACAAAAAATTCACATATCAATGGATCATTAGAAACTAGAAAATGTAACAACTACTGTAAAGAAAAACAGATAATCATAGCATACTCACCCATCCTAACATAGGATCCCCATTTAATTAATAAAGTGATGAACCAAGACCTCTCAAAATCAACATTATAGTCCATATTAGACAATCATTTGTTCCAAAAAATTTAAGCTCTTAGGAACAACTATGTAATAAAAGTTCTCCACATACCTTCAGAAATATAATGAATTGTCAGATTAAGGCCACATGATGAAATAGCGGTGTGAGTCAATAGAATGTAAGCAATAATTATACCAAGTCTGGTGTTAATTTATGTGATATCCCTCGGATCCGAGACACGGGTTCATCAGGCCCAGACCCAAACCCGAGGAAATATCAAACAATTAAAGTATTTTAAAACGAACACAGATGACAAAAAGAAACAATAAAGATAGAATAAAGCTGAAAGAAAGAAAATAATAATAAAACCCTCCATGTATAACTGAAAAATGAAACTCCAATCCTCCAAAACTTCAAGGTTGCAACTTGAGAATCCACTGGTGGACCCCTAACCAAAAGTTCAACTGAAACTGAAAACTGAAAATAGATAATGCTAGAAACATCGAGAGAAGTCCTACGTAATCAGATGAATGTGAGACTATCCTCAACAAGCATGATCAAGCTCTAAGGTTGGAACCGTCCTGTACCTGAAAAGAATAATAAAGGAGTGGGTCAGACTCACGAACAAGTTCTAATCTAACTGCAATCCATACAATGACCCGATACGCAGATACACCGTAGACACTTCACAATATCTATCTAGTCCATACATATAAATATATCCATACTAAGGGACATTCACTAGTCTATAATAGGGATCTCAACCTGAATAGAAGGCAACATGCGAATACGCACCCAAAGGTGGGCATGAGTACCTAGACCTAATAGGGTACACCTCAACCTATTATAACCAACTACGCATCCTCCGCATATACGCACCCTAACCAACGAGTCTGAGACTCAAGCTCAACTCGTGGTACCATAACCATATATATAAAGTTCGTCCAAAACCAGGGTATGTAGTTCAACTATTTATTAAACTGACATACAATAAACCAACTAGTTAGTCACTTAACTTATTCAGTTGATCTGACTTAACTACCATCCGTTAATCTAGGAAGTCATCCAACTTGGTTACAGCTGATCTGACTTAGTCACAATTAGGATTCGATATCTTTCAATCCATTCCATTAATCCATTAGGTTAGGTTTATGCGTTTTGAGCTAAACCGTCCCTAGTATGTCACCGTCCCATACCGGTATATACAATCCTCCATATCCATGTAAATTACAACATATATAACAGTTCAATAATTTGCAAACCAAAACCATCATCCAAATAATTGCAGAAAAATATTTAAAGTTTCAGCAATTTAAATCCAAGCATTTAACTATATAGTTGCAGGAGACGATTTAATAAATCAACAACTAACATCCAGAGCATGCATAGACCAAATTTAATATGTCAAGGACTCCATCATGCATGTGGATAGGTTAAATAATCCTATTATTATCCAATAATTTGTTAAAACAATTTCAGAAGATTGTTTAATGCTTCATTAATTTAAACCCAAACATTAACCATATAGTTGCAGGAAACGATTTAATAATTCAGCAACTAGCCTCCTAAGCATGCATAGATCAAAATTAATAATTAAATGACCTTGTCATGCATTTGAATGCATTTAAAAATAAGTTTTATAAACACATTACATTCCATCAAATTGCTGAATTTTAATTCAACAATTAATTTATCTTCCATTTGTTAACAACATAGGAAGTGCCTTAATTTTTACACTGTTTGTCCCAACAATTTAGAATTAAACCTTAATCAATTTAAGGTCTTATTAACACCCAAATTCAGCCTTCTAATCTCTCTGTGGAACCCCAGAACCAACAGATTAAATCCATGCTCTAACAGTATTAAACAGTAAATAGAAAACTAAAAAAAAAAAAAACAAACAGAAAATAAAAATTGAAGATGGAGCCTGCTCCAAATTTTGGGAGCAGGCTCTTTCAGCCTAGAGCCGGCTCTAGGAGTCCTTAGAGCTGGCTCTACTTGTTGTGGGAGCCGGCTCTCACCTCATTGAGAGCCTCTGTCCCCGTTTTGCTTCGTTTCAGTCCATCTGCTCCCTCTCTGATCAATTCCTACCACTCTATTGGTTTCTAAAACTAATCTTAGGAGTCTTAATTTAGTCTAGAAGTGATAAGTGCTGAATACTGTATATTCAGGCGCCCTAAATTACATTAACAAAGTCCATTAATTGATCATTTTATGTAGATTAACTCCATTTGCATGTTTTTGTGCACTTTCAGGTTAAAGTGCAAAAAGGAAGCAAAAATGATGCCTTGTGGAATTATGAACAAAAAGGGTGCCAATTCTAAATTTCTGGCATCGGTAGAACCTGACTTTTATCACCATTTTCGACCTAGCAAACTCAAGAACTGGACTTCCATCATAACATGAAAGATTTAGAGCTCTGAATCAGCTTTCCAAATCTTCAAGCGGTTCATCATTCGGAGTTCGGCACAGAGAGTTATGATCTTCTTAACAGAGGTGCGCAGAACTGCCTGGCAGCACTGAAGTACTGCCTTTCTCCCCATTTTCGACCAACCAGACTTGAGAATTGGGTCTTCATCAAAACATGAAGTTTTTGAAGCACTGAATCAGCTCTCCAAATCTTCAAACAGATCATCATTTGGAGTTCGGAGCACAAAGTTATAGCAGTTTTACCAAAGTAGGTCAGTGCTGAGCAAGAAGAGCATGTTGCACATTACACTAATTTAGAGTGCTCGAGACCACTCTTCGAGTGCTCGAAAATCAGCCAGATTGCAGCTCGGAAATGCACCCCTCTTCAGCCCACTTGTGCATTGGTTTCCACATTTCCACCCTCCTTCTTTATGGAGTGGTTGGGAATGTCTTTGGAGGAGAGAGAGAGCTTAGTTGATAGATATAAGGCAACTAAGGGCCACATGCATCCTATCCTTGAATTTTTGCAACATAGAGGGAGAGAAGAGAGCAAGAAAAGAAGGTGTTCTTGAAGCTTAAAGGAGGGAGCTCGAAAATTGGAGATGGAGTTCAAGCTTCTTCTTCATTCTAAGGCTCCAATGGGTAACTAACTCTTCTTCTAGGGAGGTGATGAAGTCCCTCCCTTGTAAGCATGTCCTAGGGTAGTCTATTTTGGGGGATTGCAATGTATATTTCTATGGTCTTTTTCATAACTAAGAGCCTTTCATTTGTTGTAATGAATGTTTATATATGTATGGTTGATTTCTTCAAGTTCATTATCTTGATTGTTAGGTGATGTCTTGTATGAATCTTATTGCTTGAGTTTTCATGGTGAGAATGGGAACAAGGTTATGAAATGGTTTCATGGCATGTTGATAGGTGACTTTGATAGACCATTGCTTAGGAAATCCTTTGATGGTGTATGCTTAATCTCTAGCTCCATGTGCTTCATCATTTTGTCAAGAACTTGATAGTCTTTCATTTAAGTAAATGTATATAAGCTACACTTTAGTTAAGTAGTCTAAGCATGTTTACCCTTTTGATAGATTATACTTGTTTGAGACTTAATGTACTTCTTGATCAATTACATGGCAACCATGTGTTGTTATGTAATTCTTGACCATTATATGTTATTTTTCCCCTTAATTAGTTCTAATCTAGCATGTGTATAGGGATGGAGACGGATTCATCTCCCTAGTCTTCTCTACTTGCATTTCACCTCTTTATATTCCTTGCAATCTACTATTTTATGCATCTTAATTTCATAGCTTTAGTGACAAACCAAGTAAAAACCCTATTCCCCCTTATCATTCTAAAACGATTCTAGACTCTTAGGTTGCCTTAAACTAGCGCAGTCCCAGTGGTTCGACTTACCCGACCAATAGCCCTATTTTACAATGATTCGTGCTATTGCGAAGGTTGATGTTTAATTGACCAACCGATCAAGAAGCATCCCCAAGGTTGTTTACAATAATTTTGAAAACAATTACAGAGTTTAATCAAGCCATTTAAACTAGCATTGTTGAAGAACAACAGTGAAACTAATTTGCAACATCAGTTCTATCCCAACCCCTCTGTTCTTCCTCTAATTCAAATTTGAAGGTCTTAAATTACATCTAGTATCCATTCAGACCTTGGTTGATTTCAGTAAGATTCAAAATAAAAATTAGAACAGTGGGACGTTATGCCAAAACAAAGAATAGAACACATACCTGACAGAATGGTTTTACAGATAAATTTTCACGGTTAAAAGATCCTCAAGTAAACATATACAAATCATGCATGGTTCAGTTAATGGCCAATTAATCCCCTAGAGGTTATCTAGGTGCACATAACACAAGCTAGAAGGAAGGAGGAAGATAAGAACTTGCCTGTACAGTTTTATAAACAAAACCTTGTCGCCGTTGTTCTAAGCTTTCCGGTAACCACTGACTACCTTCTAGCCTCCTCTGGTTCTGATCTAATCCACCAAAATCCTCCATTGGTCCTCTTTGTTCTTCTCCTTGACAGACCGTTACGATGCTCTGTTTTCTCAACTTCTCTCTTTACAGAACCAAGACTTGTTTTTCTCCAAACCCTTAACCAACGAAATCACTATATTTATAGACGTACAACCCTAAACCCTAATCTTTGTTTAATTAGAGTCAAATCCCTAACATAAACCTTAGTCGGCCCATATACAAAACCTACGTCTAAAGTGTCGGCATTATAAACGTACTTAAGTTAATAACCTAAAACTATCATTACAAAAAATAAATAAAATAGTGAATGCACAAAAACATAATATCATTAACAATTCAACTCAAATACCATTTAATAAACCCAACCAATCAATTAATCAATTTAAACACACCAAATAAATAAACAAAGGTAAGAAATCAATTAAATAACCAGAATAACCAATTAAACAAATAATTAATAATTAAACAAATAAAAATCCAATAAAATAATAAACAAAACTACTGAGACTATCCTTTTAAAAATTAGGGGTATTACAATTTACCTCCTCCTCACCCATGGTCACTTCTTTCTCTATGATGTCACTAAGAGGAATATTCAATCTGTCAATAAAAGATATGCCTGAGAATGATGATAAAGGCATAATGGTGAAATCATCTGTCACCAAGAACATGGAATGTCTCGTAATGAATCCGTTGCCAATTATTGTTTCCTCTGGATTGGACTTCGGTAGCACGCAAGAGACATTACAAAGGGAAGAAATAGTAGAGTAAGATGGATATGCAGCTTCCTCATTGGGAATGAGCTGCTTATCCAAAGCAAGACCATGGGCCAGCTTTGGATTGACCAAAATCGACTTCATCTCCTCAGATTTAAAGAATACCTCAATGTCAAAATCTTGGATGTTCTTGTACAGATTACCCAAGCATCCCCTCAAGGACAAACATGAAAATTTTTCAAAGACATAACCAAGTGGAAATGTTAGGAAACTACCAATAAGATCAACAAAATCCTCTTTTGCTTCTATGTACAATGCCCTACTATTAGATTTGTCGATGATAATCTTCAAATTTATCTTTGTGTCATTTTTTGTTGTGCTCATAGCCCTGTAAGATTGATCCATGCTTCTTGGACCATACTTTTCGTGGCAAATGTCGAAACTGGTTTTATCAATAGCTGGTTCCAAAATGGTCTCCGAGAACGGTGCCCTTGATGTTACTGAACACAAGAGCAATTTCATAACCTGAGAGAGTATTCATTTAGTACATCGAAATGCTTAGAAAGTAAAACTAGTTGATTACCTAACCCCTTCCTATGTAAGTTTAATAATATATATATATGTGTGTGTGTGTGGTGTAAGTTTAAAACAAAAGAAAAAGAGAAAAGAAAATTCAAAAAAAAAAAAAAAACAATTGGGTGGGACCCACAAAAGTTTTAAGTGGTCATAAGACCACGTTTTTCTTTTTGGCTCTATAATCTCATTCCCTCTCTCCCGTTTCTGTCCTGTGTCTTCCTCTCTCTTTTTCTTTTCTTTTTTCACTTCAAGCTTCCATTGTTGATTTCTCCCTCATTTCTTAGTATTTTTAAGTGTCGTTTACGGCAAAACGGAGAGCACGCCGAGCTCTACACGTGTGTACCAGCAATTTCAGATTTGAGCAACCTAGGGAGGTCGAAAATCTTGACCCATTTTGAGGGTTTGAGGTGAAAATTGGGGCTTTTCGCTTAAATTGAGGTAGGGGTGTTTAATCCACAATCTCTTAGATTTTGGTGAATTATTTTTCATAATTTGTCTTTAATTTGTGTTCTAATTTGTGTTATTTTTCATATTGGTTATGTGTTGTATATGAGATGTGTATATATACATGTTAGTTGTTATGTGATAAAGAACCATGTAAAATTGATGCTAAATTTAATACTTATTGCGCTTTAAAATGCTGAATTTTATGATTTTGAAGCATGATGTAAATTCCTATAATATTCCTATGAGGCATGTATATTGTAAATATTTGACTTGTAAGAAATAAAAAATTTCTTTATTAGTACATCATTAAAATGCATAAGACATATATGCATTCATTGGGATAGAATGGGAAAAATTGATTTGAAAGAAAGGAAATGGATTTTGGGAAAGAATTTTGAAAAGGGGTTTTTGTGAAAAACCCAGCCGCCTAGGAGTTGCCTAGGGACCGCGGCATTAGTGAGGCTTAGAGGGGACTAGGGAGACTGCCCTAGTGTGGTTGAGTTACCTAGGCCCCAAATGACGCCATGGAGTTGCCATGGGTCAGGGACAGTGGCCAATCCTCCTCTGGTGCCGCCATGGAGTTGCCATGGGACGGGTTCATTAACGGTTTGAAAATGATGATGGAAATGGTTTTGAAAAATGGGGAGTGACATTGCATAGCATGGCATATCATTGCATGTCATATTCATTTGTGGTATCGGATTAATGATGTGGTATTGTAGTTATATTTTTACTCCCGGCATTGTATGATCCTAATTTCCTTATTCCTATTCATTGTGTGGATTCACGAGGTCTCAAGAGGTGTGCCTTAGGCACTACCTACTGAGCAATTTTGCTCACCCCTATTATTTAACATTTTTCAGGGCTCGGAAAAGAAATGGCGGATGACAATCCCCCGTAAGTTTGAAGAAGATTAGGAGTTGTATTTTGTTATCTTTTGTATTTTAGCCCATTTTTTTTTTTTATTGTCTCAAATTATGTAAAAGAATATTTATTTTTGCAAATCATGGCCCTATAACATAACTAAGATACTTGATTATTTTTGTTGTAAACTGAGACCATGTAAATGCTTAAGTTGAAGGGGATGACGGTGATGGGCTAATTTGGGAAGGTTATTGATGTTGTGGTATTGGGGAATGCATTATATTCCTTTTGTATTGTGTGTTGGAGTAGGTTAGATAAGTCTTAAAAAGCCGTTGTTTTTTTTTATTATTTGAACAGGTTGTTGTAGGACCATTTTTAGTGGAGGTCATGCCGAATTTTTTTTTTTTTTAAATTTTTATTATTTTCGGTATTCAGTTTAAGGTCGTTACAAAATTGGTATCAAAGCCTTGGTTCGAAAACCGTTAGGACGACGGGTAGAGGCCTACCTAGGGTTATCTGGGAAGTCATTTGCATAGTTTATGTGATTAATTGTTAAAGTGTTTTGCTATGTGAAAAAAAAAAAGGAAAATAAAAAAAAAAACATGCTTAACTGTTTACTTGTTTACGTGTTATGTGTTTATATGCTTATATTAGTGTGTTCATTGCACAATATTACATCCTAAGTATTAGTGTAACATCCTTTTATGTTGAGTTGTATACGGTTGGACCTTAGTGTTATCGTTATTGAATCATTTTATTTGTTTTATAGAACGATGTCACGGCGTGAGGAACCCAGGGACGTTGGCCCTAGGCCAGCAAGGGGTGATGTTGGTAAGAGCTCAAGCTCCAATCTGACGGAGCTAGTTGATGAGGACACACTTCTTCGGGATTTAATTGCCCCAAGGGTTGTTCCTACAAGGAGGGATAATGTGGAAGCACCCGTTGAAGAGGGTGAAAGTCCGACAGAACTAGTATTGAATCGCTTGTTGCAGAGGGCCTTCAGGGCCACCATTGCTACACAGCCGCAGCCGATACCGCAGCCGATACCACAACAGGTAGTGCAAATGGAGGAGACGCCAGCACAGAAGCGTCTCAAGATTATTAAAGGGTTTTCTCAGTTGATGCTGGTAATGTTTGAAGGTGGTGTAGATCCTATGGTAGCGGATGACTACATGTAGTAAGTTGAAACTCAATTGACTTCTATGGATATGACGGAGGATCACTTGAAAATCATCCTAGCCACTTACAAGTTCACAAAGAATGCCAAGTTTTGGTGGAAATCGATCACAAATCAATATAAGATTGAAGAGATGAGTTGGGATAGATTCAAGGAGCTGTTCTATGAGAAGTATTTTCTTGCTTCCAAGAGGTGGGAGTTAAATGATCAGTTTATTGACCTTATCCAAGGCAATATGTCAGTGACAGAGTACGAGAACAAGTTCACTTCTCTTTCCCGCTCTGCTCCAGAGATGGTGAGTAATGAAGTTGATAAGGTTCAGAAGTTTATCTCCGGACTTGACTATAAGATGAGGCCATTGTTAATAGCACAGGGCATCAAGGTTTATTCTGAGGCAGTGGAAATGGCATTAATGTTAGAGGCGGACGCCAAAGATAAAGATGCAAGAAGGGAAAGTGGAAGCAAAAGAGGAATGCAGGGTCATTTTCAGAAGGACCTTCAGGAAAGAGGAATAGGGGTGGTTCATCTCAGTTTCAGGGTCAGCAGTCAGCACGATCCGCTCCTACCACTCCTATGCCAGTAGGGTCTGCCAAGAGTGGTGTCATTTGTTATCGTTGTAATCAGCCGGGTCACTACAAATTAGAGTGTCCACAGACATTGGTTAATTCTGGGGCTCGTTTTGGTTGTGGCCAACAAGGCCATAAGGTTAAGAATTGTCCTAATCAGGGAGCAAGCATAGGTAGTGGCAGAGGGTCACAGCAGAGGCCGTCACAGTCGGCTATGGTTCAATCATGTTTCAGACCACCACCATCACAGCCTGCCATGTCCTCTCAGGGTTCACGGCCAGATAAGAGGGATACTCCTACTATGTCAGTTCAGCAGTCAGGTGTTCAGGTTGGCAGTTCTCAGGCACAGGCACCATAGGGACGTGTCTTTGCACTTGCACCGACTGATGCATCTCCTAGATCGTCAGTTCTCCGAGGTATATTTCCAGTATTTGGTTCTTGGGCCCGTGTTTTGTTTGACTCTGGTGCATCTCATTCTTTCATTTCATCATCATTTGTACTTGCATCAGGGTTAGAGGTCAGTTTTATGGATCGGGCGTTGTGTGTTGAAACGCCAGTTGGGGTTTCAGTGTCTTTGAGTCAAGTTGTGCGAGATTGTTCCATTGTGATAGCTGGGCGGAACTTTGTGTTTGACCTTATCCTCCTGGAGATGACTAGCTTTGATGTCATTCTCGGGATGGACTGGTTAGCTTTCTTTTGTGCCACGATCGACTGTTTTAGAGGTAAAGTCATAGTTTGCACTCCCGAGGGAGACTATTTCTTTTTCGTGGGAGATCGGAGTAATTCCCACATTTCATTGTTTTATGGAGTTTGCAAACGGAGTCATGGTGATTACTTCTTAGCTAGTCTTTTAGCCGAAGAAGATGATATTGTGGAAGAAGATTATCTTGCAGTTGTTCGTGATTTTCTGGATGTGTTTCCGGAGGATTTGACAGAGTTGCCTCCACACCGAGAAATGGAGTTTACTATTGATTTGATGCCAGGTACCGCGCCGATTTCTATGGTACCGTATCGTATGGCACCAGTTGAATTGGAATAATTAAAGAGGCAACTTGATGATTTGAGGATGAAAGGTTTCATCCGACCGAGTGTGTCACCGTGGGGCGCACCGGTCTTATTTGTTAAGAAGAAAGATGGTTATTGAGGTTGTGCATTGATTACCAAAAGTTGAATCGTGCTACCATCAAAAATAAGTATCATTTGCCAATGATAGATGATTTGTTTGATCAGTTGAGAGGAGATAGTTGTTTTTCGAAGATTGACTTGAGGTCAGGCTACTATTAGTTACGGGTTAGGGATGAGGATATTCCAAAGACACCGTTCCGTACACGGTATGGGCACTATGAGTTCCTTATTATACCTTTTGGCTTGACTAATGCGCCAGCGGCATTCATGGACTTAATGAACCGTGTCTTTCACGATTACTTGGACCAGTTTATGGTAGTTTTCATGAATGACATTCTCGTGTATTCATGATCTCGGGAGGAGCACGAGGTCCATTTGAGTATTGTTTTACAGATTTTGTAGGAGCATCGATTGTATGCCAAATATGAGAAATGTGAGTTTTGGCTACAGGAGGTGAAATTTTTGGGGCATGTTGTTTCAGAAGGTGGAGTGCCAGTAGATTCATCAAAGGTTGAAGCAGTTTTGAATTGGGAGCAACCCAAGAATGTTTTTGAGATTCGGAGTTTCCTTGGCCTAACGGGTTACTATCGGAGATTTGTAAAGGATTTCTCCCGTTTGGCAACGCCTATGACCCGTTTGACTTGGAAAGGGATCAAGTTTGTCTGGACTGAAGCCTATGAGTCATCTTTTCAGGAGTTGAAGACAAGATTGACTACAGCTCCAGTGTTGGTGATATCTGAGCGTGGCGTGGGTTATGTGATTTATTG